ATTGTTTGTCTAGAAGAAGTACATTATGTAATATAATTGACTATTAGTATTTGAACCTTTATTACACTTTTTATTTGATAGTTAAATTTCTTTTAATATATTACAATTAAAGCTTCATTAGAAAATAATACTTACGTGGTTCAGAGTTTGAGTGAACGCTGAGAATGGTGTATACTAAAGTTACATAAAATGTAAAGAAATTCATTTCTAAATACGAATTGTAAATTGCACAGTAAGACAATTATAATACTTTGAATAATTTCAGTGTTCTCCAACATATCTAAGTGTATATATATAAATATACACGTGTACATAGGTTAATTTGTCTTAGCAACTAAAAGTAATATTTGATGAATAAACTAGTTTATTAGTTAACATACATAATCATAAAATATCCAGTTTCAAATGTGAAATACAAATGGAAATAAACATATCTTTTTACATATAAATAATGTTAATGTGTAATAGACGTAATTGTTTTGAATAAACAAAAATGATAGGTAAACATGCATTACTTTTTCTTCTTTTTTTGCATCAATATTAGTAAGCAGTTCATTCATATGAAATTTTACTAAAACATCTAAATGTACTTTAATATTTCGTAAAGTGATTTTATTAATTTATTCAATATTCCACAGATTGAAATCATGAGTCAATTGAAGCTAGAACACCATGGACAATTTGGAAGCAGTGAACGGCTATTTCGTCGTAGCATGCGATTCCTCAGAAGTGCCCAGCCGCGATCCCGCACCCCACGAGATACGAACCCAGAACCTATCAGTTTCGCACCAAGCACCTCACCAACTAGACCACTGAGCTGGCACCCAATAGTGTTAATGTATAACTTCTACCAATCCACGAAGTTGCACCACCGTACACCATTGTCTTCAGTGAGTTACTATCTCACAACAGACCTGATTGAACTCCACTGGTAACGGCTTCTCACTAGAACTCCAGGAGTATCTCTTGAAGTCAGTCACTAGTGAGCAGATGATTATTATCAGAAGGGGTTTGTGGAGATTTTAGAAATTCCACAGATTGAAATCATGAGTCAATTGAAGCTAGACCACCATGGAAAACCTGGAAGCACTGGACGGCCGTTTTCTTTCTACAACTGAACTCATGATATTTAAGGATGAGACTATCGTTTATGAATGACCTTTGAGCGATGCTAGACTGACCTTGAGAATGTCTACCTGATAACTAGGACCAAATGAGGGTTATAAATTAAATATGAGGAATTCGTATTATGATTTATAGTTAATGGTTTAAGTTAGGATTCCGAGACCTATTATCTTATATCAGATTAGTTCATCTATAAATTATAGTCTCACCTATTTAAGCTTCACAAGAAGTATATTATCTATACAGTTTGTTGAACAGAACAAAATGATAGTCAAATTTTTAAAAAAAAAGTTTATTTAAGTTGGCAATTAATGTTGTAGGAGAATATTTATTTCCATTAATAATCATATTAATATTTACAGGATAGAATGTTCTATTTGAAGATAGGATCTTTTTCAAAGGTACTTGGTTTTACTTTAGTATGAAGTATTTATATGACATAAACAATTAGTTGGATATAGTGAATTCAACTGATTTATATAAAGAAAGCCTATTGTTTCTTAATGTGCTTAAAATGTTAAATGTTGAATGTTCGAAAATTCTTTACTTTAAATTTGTAATTGTAGAAATTATATATTAACAGTTTTTTTTTATAATTTAATTACTAAAGGTTACAAACCTTGGTATATCCTTGTAGCAAATAACTTAGCATAATAATAAATTAATACTTTACACAAAAATTCATTCATTTCATTAACTCTGACCAACTTATATATATAAGAATGCATCACGAGGACTTTCTGTCTGGTGTTTCACTATGCTAAATATATGAAAGGAAGATAATACAACCAACCATGTAGACTCTAATTCTCATCAGTTTTTGTGACATTCAAGGTTATTATTGATTAGTCTAATGTTCACAGCCCCCGTGCTTATATCCATAACAACACCTCATCTATACTTAAGTCTGCGATTAATTTTGACAAACCCTTCAATTAACTTGTCTAGGTGTAATTTGAACACTAACAACTTGTATATCCATTATTATCGTCATGTCTGTATGCATGATCACGTGCTACAGCCTACTCATATATCCATCTTATATGCCTAAGTATTAGTTTCTTAAATGGCTTGATGAATCATTCGCTATTATATATATGTAATAGCGTGACATAGTACGATCAATCATACTTGTTAGACCCAAAATAACACAACTGTGAAGCTGGAAGCAAATTGACCGATTATGAATAAGTCATGACATCGAATGAAAACAATGGAATTTCTTCATTGGAGAAAATGGAATGAACTACAGTTATAACGAATAAGTGATTGAAATAAACCATGCGAAAAAAGTTTCTGTTTACCGTGAGAGCAACCACATTTGGTCGTTGGTACACAGTTTGGCGAAGTGTGTCGAAAATGTAGGCATTGCACTTCGCAATAATTTAGCAGCCTTATACAATTTAGTTGAAACAGTGCGTTTATACATACAGGGATAAATTTATGTATAAAGTTTGTATAAGATGTTACCTTTGTTCTAATTCTGTCTTGATCTTCTTGTTCACCTCTTGTTTTGTGTTGCTCTATACTACTTACTGATATTCAGTAACGAGTTTCATATCTAATCAACTTTGAGATTCATTTATTTGAACACATATATATTGGTACAAGGGGGAACCAGATACATATGTGAGGGCTGTGATACTACCCGGGTAGCCAAACCGAAGCAGATGGTTTTCTTAGGGGGCCATACCCGGAGCCTTCGACCTAAAGGTCTGATCCACAAGGCAGAGGAGCATCGTAAGGAGATGCAGTCCCATGGTAGCCGGTGACCAACATTTGGTTCATACGCCATTTGTTCCATCAGGGTACTGGTGCCCAAGTGCACCATTGGTTTGGAATCAGAGTATTCCAACTTCCCTAAGTGGACCCTCCGTGTCCAACTACCCGAACATCCGCTTTTCATCCTCTCAATTTCGTAAACAACACCCACGCCACGAGAAGTCAGTCAGTGGGACTTCCCTGGCAGAGGCTATATACGCGTGGCCATTTGATAGCATTTCGAGAGGGACAGCGTACTCTCCCCACTCTCGGCCGTACCAGGGCATTTGGGGGCATCAACTTGGAGAATGTGGTGTGGAACGTGTATTTCTTATCACAAAATGTTCTTAAGTACCTGCATAGACTAGTAACCTTTAGTTTCGGCAGAACAGCTTCCATATTTTGTGCTCTTGTCCTTTGTTCGATTGTTATAAGTCACTAATGACCTTAGTCAGCTGACGACTTTCATTTACACCATTGTATGTTGTAGATAATTTCTGGGCAATTACTGAAGGAAGCATTTTTCTCTTTAATATACACAAACAAATTAACTGTCATAAATACCTCACAAGTTGTCACTAATATGCATATATATTTTGTAATGATATAACTGTTCACTAAATAAAATATATATTGGAATTCGATTTTCACGCGTAACTGATTCGTGTGGTTGAATGCCTCGGTAGGATTTAATACAAGCTGTAAATGAACTGGGATAAGGCGGAACAGTCATGTAACCACGAAATGTATCATTCCAACTCTATTAATTATTTGGTACTTATTCACGTCTTATAATGTCTTTCCTCATGTACAATTTTCATGTGTTGATTTTATTTATTTCTCTACCACTCATTAGCATTTTTTAAATTACATAAAATGACAGTACAACTACTACAATGATTAATTTTTATATCGATTCACACCTCACAATTGACTGACACATTAATCTATACAGTACAGAATTCAGCACTCACTTCCTATATATTTTAAACTTATTGGTCTACTGGTCAAGTACTTGGGATATAACCATTCCTAAAATATTTCGTAAGAAACCTTTTTTACATCTCATCTCCAAGTGAATCTAATTACACACTGGGGTCGGTCTAAAAGATCTACGGAATTAGTTGGAATTTATAATAACTGGAAACAGATAAATTTACGACGTCGCAAATCATAACGTCTCAACAATTCATAAGCCATTTTCCCTCCAACACTAGATTTATTATATTGACATTATAAAATTAACGATTTGGTGGATAATATTTATCGTCACTAAAAACGAACGCAAACTTTAGGAGTCATATTCACCTTGGTTTCAAGTTTTGTTTGGCTTGAAAGTCATCCAGTTCTCAGTTGCCAAATCCATAAGCAGTATTCATTCATTATAATCGTGTAAGCGTAACCTCTAGGCGGGAGACGTATGATACATCACCACCCATTTATGCTTATAATCTACGAGCCATATATAAATTAAACTGTTGAAAGACAAAATAAATTTCCTTACGAAAAGTTATGATTAGTGAAGCTCAATGTATTGGGTAATTAGTTCACTATATATATCACCAACCATCAATAATGATGTGAAGGCTGGAGTCAAGTCAAGGCATTCAAGTCGAATCAGGTGGTTCCCATGGAGGATCACCCCTGAACTTTTCAAATAAACGTCTGGTACACGAGATAATGTAAGATACAATCCCATAATAAGCTACTTAATCTCTGAACATCCTGGACATCATGCTCATTGATCCGAAACCAGGGTTTTTAATTTCCCAAATATGAATCATAAGTGTCCGTCAACTTCACTTTAGCTGCAAATACCTGCGAGACAACTGTAGCGGGCTTACACTTCCGTCGTCTCAGCAACACTGTCTAAACTTTCCTAAGCTCCACTTTTGATGGATGTAAGAGGAAATGATTACTGACAAAACAAAGATCATCTATACTAAGATGATTTTGACACATTCTGGGATGTTTTTGTCCCCAGTATTGTTCTTAAGAGTAGTCGGTAATCACAAATTAATATGACCACTAGACAGATTAATATATTTCCCAAGGTAGAATGTATTCATTTGATTTATTTACAAAGCACTGTAAAATATCAAAACAATCATGTTACTCCACCGGATTTTAACGTGACAAATAATTGCATTTTACATCTTGTGATTGTAATTGAATGAAAAAGTAAGATAAAACTGAATAATGAATTACAGTCAAGTTCACGAATCATGAACAAAAATTGTTAGTTTGATTATACAACAAATAGTTAAGTATATGAGATTAAAAAGTTTCAATTAAGCAAATAAATAACGTTGACCAAATAATTATTGTATATACACACAGTTCAGTATTCCAATGACATTTAGAAATTATATTTCAACTTTCTAAAGCTGATCCATTATTTGTTTTTTAATGAACAATATATGAGAAAATCAACAGTCATATAGGTTTCAGACAAGTGAACCAGGACTCCTAACTAATGTTATATTGTCAGGAAAGAAATCACTGATGAAAAAAGATTTAAATAAATTGTTATACTACATGTTAATTTAGTAAACTACGTTCACTAAAGACACGTGTACGTTGTGCTTCAACATTTCCTTTCCAACGTTGTTGTTGATCTCGAACACGATTTACAACACTAGATACTCCAACAGATGTAGAAGGTATTGTGGTAAGATTTAATCCATTAGGATCTTCAACTTGATCATTTGAAATTAGCCCAGAACGATTACGTAATCGCCAGCGATTTGAAGGAGCTGCTTTAAAGAAAGTAAAACCGAATCCTCACTTTTATAGTGAATAGGTGAACACAACAAAATTAATAAAATCTAAGCATAAATTGTCTGAACGGCAATTTTTTCGCACATATAGTTAATGGAATTGTGATATAGTACTAACGTCATGATGGGAAACAGATATCTGTATCTGAACGTAAGGTGGTGATTTCACATTTCAAGTGAAGCATATTGCAAATTAGGTTTGAATGGATAGAAAAACGACAAAATTATGAAAATTACAAAGTGAAACCACCAATAAAGATATTGGCATATCATGATCTATTTGATAATTTATAATAAGTTGGTTATTTGAAAAGTAGCGGAAATCAAAAGCATTGTTGATTGACTTATTTCTGGTTAATCTGTTCGAAGTAATGCATTTGTTGGAAGGTTAACATACTACTCTAGCATATATATATATATATATATATATATATATATATATATATATATATATATGCACGTTCTAACAATCCACATTGGTGGATATCGATTAAATCGTTAAGTTTTTTTACGATCATAGTCTATGGTTAGAGATCGCCACATCTCTACCATTCCGCTTAGTATACGAGATTTTATATTTTATGTGAGCAACTTTTATTAGCGATTCATAAGGTAGTTTCTGGATTTTTTTATAACTTGAAAACCAGTCAAAACTAGATTACAAGTTCGTTTTTATGTGAAGTTATGTATGTGCATAATGGGACAAACTAATTCTCTTCACTCTTCAGCTGATGTCAGTTTGTAATGGTAATTAACCCAAATCAATTATAAACAACAGAATTCAGAATACGGTCAGTGGCTAATTCACAATTAAACATTTTAAAACTTACTAATTATTCTCAAATTAGAATCCATAAATTGTTTAGGATTCAACTTAGTTTTATCCCAAATAACTGCCTTATCAATCGCTTTAGAATATACAGCTGAATCGCCATGACCACTACTACTAACAGGAATGTTTATATTAGCCCATGAATTAGTTGATCTTGCATCATTTGTCTTGTCATTATTATTGTGTTGATTAATAGTAAAGTTATTTGGCTGTTGTGGTTCTGAACATATCCCCATATCAATTATTGTTTTATGCGATAAATGTCTTGCAGATAGTAATGGTTCCAGTAGTAAGAGAAATAGCATATATAAAACCAAGGCTGTGATGACTGTTAGAATAAGGCAAACAACAACCTAAAGTAATATGAAAAGAAATAATGGTTGATAGATCAAATGTACTATAAACGACTTATTGACCGATGAATATAATGTGATTAAATAAGCTGTTTCTGACATCGCTACCTCGTATAAAATGGAAAGATACATTATTTAACCATTTAGTCATAGAAAAACATAAACCAAAGATACTTGAGCAGAGAAAAAAGGTGACATGCACAGGCTGGACTAATCACTTTGACGCTGTTTGGTATACTAGATCCCTAGAAATAACTTGGTAAACGTCTTATTTTTGTAATTTTATTTTGGAAATCTGAATTTCTTGTTTTCACGCTGAAAGTGCCCATTCTCACCTTTATATTGTATTTTCCACTTGGCATTGGTTCGTCCCCTCTTTTAATATGCTATTTTGTGACGTTTCCCAAGGACATTTTTATATTATATATACGCTTGAGTTACGTGCTTGTTGTCGTTTGTGCTTCTGACTGCTTGTGGAATATACTTTCTCTTATCTGAACCTGGACTTCTCCCTCTGGTTAGCGGGTCTGAGACGCATCGGAATAGTTTAGCTGTCTTGTCGTTGTGTCGCTGATCCTTCGTTCCATTTGCCGACTTTTAGGTGATCTCATAATATCTTCAGGCATAGCAGATGCTAAACATGTGTTAATTCAAACCAAATGTTGCTAAGCTATTCAACAGTATTAAAAGAAATACTTTTATTTGTATTTTAGTGGCTTGAGATCGTACAGGATATATTCAAAAGACAAAACGGTGATGAACAAAGGTATACGATTAGGATTATTTTATTTATTTGCTGTAAATAAGCACATTTCGATTGCAACATATCTCCACTTGCATACTCATGATTATTAAGAACTAGTTACTACAATAAAATATTATTAGGTTTAAGAGCTATAACAAACGTTAGATGACTTTTGATGGTAAAATACGTTCCCATTATGAAAAATAGAGAATATAAACGCATATATTACGCACGCCTCATCGTCACTAAAAAAAATCACTAGTAAAAATCGTATTAGTTGGACTCTGAAAATGCTATCACATAATTGTGTACCCTATTTTTTAACCTATTAACCTACGTAACATTACCATACATCATCGACACATAATACAAGTGAAAAGGCAGATACTTATTAATGTACTTATCAGATAAAAACGGAGAAATAGCGATCTATTCATGATTACTTGGGTTTGAAAACCGTTACTTTGTTCAGTGTTTTTAAAGATACGGGAACTTTACAGCTTATTTTCAAGTCAACTTGTAGTACAAAGGAGTAAACTTGAAATTAAAAGTAAGTTACTAGTTTCTAATACAAGTAGCAGAGTACTAAGTTATTATTTGCAAAATCCAACTAAATTCAATTAGTCACAGATTTGAACCAACCATCAGAATACATCAAACATCTGTTGACCTGAATACAAGACGAAGTTTCTACTAATGGTGGGAACGACAATAATGAAGACAGGTATATCCATTCCGTTTTCCGATCTCTGTGATAACAAATATTATTCATGGATCATTTTAAAGATTTTCTTATCACTAAGTCAGTCAGTATAAGGTTAATGTACTTCTTTGGTACTCCTTTCAGTGACAAACATTGCAATAGAACCTTACGATCAACAGAGTCGAATGCTGCCTCAAGGTCGAGAAATACTACGATTGTGGGGCGTCTGAATGTGTGTCTGTGTTCTAGAACCTGACGTAGTGTGAATATCTGGTCTATACAACCACGTTCAGGTCGAAAACCAGCCTGATTTTCTCTAGTCTGTTCTTCACGAGCTTTAGTTAGACGTTGAAGTATTACTGAAGCTAATATTTTAGACACTATATTTGTCAAACTGATTCCTCTGTGATTGTCACAAGAGGACTTTTGTCCTTTCTTAAAAACTGGCACAATCAGTGATTGAGACCAGTTAGATGGGATTACGTCCAGTTCCCAAATTCTACCTAAGACCTCGGTTAATCTCACTGCTAATACTGAACCACCATCCTTAAAAATCTCAGGAGTAAAACTGTCAGGGCCTGCTGCTCTCCCTCGCTTCACATTTCCTATGGCTTTTTCAACTTCGTAAAGAAACGGTGGACCTACATTAACTTGCCACTCATGTTAACTGGAGATCGTGGGAAACCGAAGTGTGGCTGAAGGCCAGTTGAACGGATCCCTAAAGTGTTCTGCCCATCGATCCAATCTCCTGGATTGATAATGTATAATATGTCCATCTTTCTCTGAGAGTGTTTCGCTAACAGTCGGTTTCCTTAACAAGTCTGAACAATTGTCTGCTATTACCTATTGTCGCTGCCTTTTCCATCTCTCTTGCTTTCGCTACCCACCACTGTTCACGATCATTGCGTAGACTTCTTGTCAGCTTGCGCTTAAGATGACTCCGCTCTCCATTATGTTCAGAGCCAGGTGGAATGGGTTTCCGAGCATCTATCAGTGCGATAGATGCTGCTGAGATCCAGTGTTGCTCCCTAACCTTCTGGTTTACCTTACTAACAGATATCACTGCTGTTTCTACAGTTTTTCAAATATCATTCCATGCTGCCTCACGGTGAGCATCATATACATGGCTGCCTAACTGTTTTTCTAGTTGTTCCTGAAATATACTCTTAGCTTGACTATCATTAAATAGGGCCTTAAGAGGTTTCCTTGCGGCGTCTTTCCTATGTCCAGTAAGACGCAGACAGATACGCCCTCGTACTAGAGCATGATCTGAATCTAAGCATGTGCTCCAGAATGAGCGACAGTTTTCTATCGAGCCCCTCCATCGGTGGCTGATAGCGATGTGATCTATTTGGGTCCAACGTTGGGACGAATTAGGGGGTCTCCATGTTAAAGGATGTTTTTCCTTATGCTTAAAGTTAGTATTTGCAAGAAAGAGGCGGTTATCTGAGCATAGCTGCAACAGATGGTCGCCATTATCTGTTCTTTGAGCCACGATGCTATAAGATCCACCCAAGTGTCTTTCCCTATCGCTTAGTTTACCTACTTGAGCATTAGAGTCACCGGCCACTATTACTACATCCGAGCGCCTAGCTTTTAGAATGAGGTCGGAGAACTTTCTGTAAAACTCATCTTTTACATCATCTGCGCTGCAGTCAGTGGGAGAATAGGCAGAGACGACGAAGAGGCAACGACAAGTGTCCCTATCTTTTCGGATCCTTACTGTTCCGTTCAGTCGGACAGTGCACAAACGACTGTCTACTGGGATCCACTCTAAGAGAGCTAGTTCTGCCCTAGGACTCAATGCTATACCTGCGCCAGCGAGGCCACGGGAAGCAGAATCAGGGCTTCCAGATACACGAAGTGTGAATCTAGTCGGTTCTTTATTTTGGCATGGTGAGGTCAGATGAATGACGCTACTCGGATCCTGTATGCGCGTTTCGGGGACGCAGCACACATCGATGGAGCGGGATTCTAAAGTCATAGCTAAGGAAGCCTGCTGTCCTATTTGGTACAGTGTTCGGACGTTAAAAGCTCCTACCTGTAGTTTAGAGCGTGGTTTCAAGAGACCAGGAATAGCGTTCCGCGTACTCGAATCGTTTGCTCCAGCGGTGCGAGGTGATAAAGAGACGTGGTGAAGCTTAGTCATGGAGATAAGAGAGTTATTAGTTGGTGTAGGATGGATTTGAATGTGACCAACTTGGTCTCGTGTGCTGTTATGGGTATGAGGGTTGATATCACTTCACGGCTGCCAACACCGTGGAAGGGTATTTCTTGAGGAACCTGAAAAGGAAATTGGATTAGTGTTGGTCTCAACAACCTGGAAGCGTGACCACAGAGCCCAAGGGACAACTGCTTGAGGCCGGTCGTGCACGACCTTTTTGTGAGAGATTTTTGACGTGTTAGCTCCGTTCTTCAAAGGGCCTTACCGCCGGGGACGGAAATCCGTGAGGTAAGGTGAGGTGTGACATTTTTAGGGTCGACCTTTTCTAACCCCACCCCTCCTTGTGGGAAGACAGCATCGCTGCAGATGCTCGTTGTCCGACGGAAACACCTTACTGCTGTCACACCCCTCTACAGTCAGCAGTACGACTTCGCCCTCAGATTTTGAGTTGCTGTTTTTAGTCTTACCGTTCTCCAATCGACCTGCCTGGCATGATAGAACCTACAGGAACATATGTTCCAGCCAATATAGCTCGGCTGGATCATCACGATAGGCAAGCCCGACCACCGCGTCAAGGTAGCAGCTTTGGTCGGGTTATCACTAAGTTATAGTACTGAACAAGAAATTAACTAAAACAAAATTTTACGATACACTTAACTATTCTTATAAACGTCAAGAAATTATTTATTTCAGTAAGAATAATAAAACCTACTTTTATGGTAGCAGTATTTCGAACCTGAAATTTGCATTCACAATAACGACAAAGGTCTTTATCGTTTTGTAACATATATTCACAGGTACTAAATTAAAGAAAAATATTACACAAATGTCATTTTAAAGTAGTATACCATTTCTCAGAAGGAATCGCTTTCACATATATCTTCTTTGATGATTTAGTATTATTCATATAGGAGCTTGGGAGTAAACAGACACATTTACACCGAGCATCTTCGTAAGCTGCCTATAATGTGAGAATGAAATTAGCTCAACAAACAATATGGATTACCGAAGCAGTATTTATGATTAATACATATATGAACACTGCATAAAACTCCATTTGTCACATACGGTCCAGAATTATATCATGGATAATAACCTAACAAATGATTAACAGATCAACAGGTCAAAACTTTCTCAAAAGATATATTGAAAAAAAAAGAATTAAGCACGAATTCATAAGGCATATGTACTAGTCTCTAACCTTAATTGTCAGCGACTAAGTCCTCCAGACTAAGGCTTTATTTTGACGTTAAAAAAGTACAACAGGAAAACTATGATAAAGTGCCAGATAATTTGACTGTCTTCCACATTAATAGTCATATTTTACTAACTGAGCTTTACTCTTTTTATTCTTATCAGTTGAGTTTTATTCTTATCAGCGTTTACTCATTATGTAATTGCAAATTTCTAGCCGACTGAAATCTTGTTACAATCAATGTTGTAGAATGTTCTTCTACATAAGATGTACATTTACAAAATTCAGTCTATTGAATTTATTTACACCCTGACTATACCATACTGACGTGTCTTTAAAACAACTTCCAACTAAACACTTTCACGTAAGTAGTTTAAACCCATTTCGTAATTATGTTTTTAAATATCACAGGTTGTAAGCAGCTAAAGACAACCAAATGAAATGAAATGAATTCATGTTATTCTACTAGAATCTTTGTTCTTACCCTCTTCTAAATGTGTTTTCTCGTTAGCTATCCATATTTAATTCAAAGATACAGTTTTTAGATGTCACTAGCTGTTCTCATGTGGTATCAGGGTGTGATGATAGAAACCAACGTTACCGAGAACTATATAGCTATAGAGTGAGTAACAAAAGCCCTAGTGTGTATCCAGTACAAGTATTCTCAGCAACAAGGCATTGGATAATGTATCACCTAGGACTTATATGGGACTTTTCCAAATTTTGAATGACAGCCACAGTACAATATTGCATAAGAAACACAATGATTTAAATGAAATAAACGATCCCAAAGCTATGGTTTGTATATTATTATCGGAAATTGTGGGTCAATACACGTTGACCAGGGTGTTAATCACCAAAAAAATATCAATTAGACACTTTTTTAAGTGAAAGAACAAGAAGACATGAGAAACTAATTCGCATGTAAACGAGCTCATACAGAAGTGGAGAAAATGATGAAGGTATTTAGGTGCTACAATCGATGTGTATAAACCTTAAGTAAAATGATGAACAGGTTTCGGGACTTATAACCCACCTGTGCGAGAACTCCCTTAAATATTACATTCTAACTACAGGTTCGCATTATATTAAAGATTCTGAAAGAACTGAGTGTCCAACGAAGAGAAACAGCCGTTTCAGTCCCTTCCAATTATAAGATAAGCAAAAAACAGCTAAGCTATTGATTTTTTCTGATAGCGAAACGCGAAATGATCTTAAATCGAAACTCAATATCTCACGTGGTGTTTTGGATATCATCTTATCCCTGTGTTCCCTTTACGATTACTTTCCAAGGCCACTACGAAGGGCTCAGGCAATGCAACAGAAACCAGATTACGATTTCGTTTCTCTCTCCCAGAAATCAACGACTGAAAGTCATCAGAATCAAGTGGCATTCCTCATAGCAGACAAACGCCTCACAAGAGAAATTCGATTTCCACAGTAGAAAACGACACAGAAATCAACACAAGTGCTATAACTTGACTAAGCATTTAACTTACGAATTAATAAAGTGGATTTACCAAGTATGCCAAACCAGAGCATTTCTGTTTAGATGAGATGACATTTAGGTAAAATCTTCGCTCGAAAAAATCTGAAAACTTACGTAACGCACACTTTAAAAGTTACGCGTAACAACTCGTAAGTTTAAATCTATTGTACATGGGTTAGGTGCTTCCGCTCTCATATCTGGTTGTCAACGTTTTCTTATTTCCACATAGATATCCGAAACTTGCCTAAAATTTGTTGAAGTGAGTTCGTGGAAAAACAAAGTTCTCATCAAATACGACCTCGTGAGAGATTTCCGAACTGTTTCACATGCATAGTATTGCCAAATTTTTCTGACATGTTTTTCGACATATCTAAAATTCGACATAAAATATAAGCATATCAGCTAGGACATTTCATATGAGTATTAGAACTGAATGATCGGTGTAAGTATGCATGATTTTATATGTTAATATTATTTTTCCCGGCCGAAGCACGTACACGCCATTTTTACATGCATGATCTACAATTTGCAACGTTCATTTGTATATAAATTGCTTTTAAAGTAGGGTTGTCGAATATATAGAGTCAATAAAAATAAAAGCAGTACATTCCTACAAATGTCCCTGAGATTTAATAATTAAATTTATGTTTTACTATTACATTGTGGGTATAGCTTGTAAAAAACTGTTTAAAAATGGTGTCATGTCCATGCGGTGACTATGGAAAACGCACACAGTGTTCAAACTCGGCATTGTCGTGCTATGATTCTGGTCCTGCTAGGTATATGTGCAATGCAACTATTTTAGAAGTTTGTAGTTGTTATAAAGTAGGTACAATTGGTGTTTTGTACGGGCTGTGACCATCGACAATACATACATTTACTTCGTTTTAGGAGCAAGAGGCTTTAAAGCTGTACACTAAGAGCATGATGCTTAAAGAGTGAAATTATGGAACAGTAAGGCATTTGAACATAAATCTTAAATAATGATTGACAGTTTGTTGTGAAATAGATAGTGGTAAGATATTTTGGTAGATAAAACTCAAACTAGCTGTCGCTGCTAAAGTGAATTTTAGTTAGAGCCTTCAAATGAGGGAATACAGTAATAAGTAACAATGAGTTATGATAGGTCACAGGGTGGAATCGATTCAAATGATGGAAGAAAATTCGAAGTTAGGATAAGGAAAGCTGTTCATTAGAATGGAAAGTGCATCAAAAGGGTAAAGTGTTCAAAAATGCTAGTCACCATAACTTTCATTGTCTATTTCTCTATCATCTTATTTTTACTTGATGCCAACTGTGAGGTCATAATGTAAAAGTCCGAGTTTGAATGGTACAGGCTATCTTAGTCAGATAGCAAATTTAACATAAAGTCGGAGTAGCGAGCGTAGGAGAGCAACTTCAGTATCACTGGACGGCTGCTTCATCCTCGGCCACAAATCTCCTGAAACGAACAAAATGTGCAAACCAATAGAAGCTTATTGCCAAAAAATTATCACTGAGTACAGATGGTTGAAAATTATCACTAAACTAATCCACATTTTTTGCTAAAGATTGTTCGTTTTAGTTTCATCTTTCAGTGAAAGGTCGACTAAGTTGTTTACTGATCTCAGAGTTGGTCGTAAAAATACCTCTTTCGACATAAATAAGAGTATTATGTCGAATATAATTTAACACTATACCGATTAGTCTGATGGTAAAACTGCATTTGAACATTAATCAACAAGTTTATGTATAACCGTCTGAAGAAACGGGAATTTACTACAGGTAGGTAGTTATAGGCTGTGTAAATTTAAGCCAAGACTAAAATTGTAGATTTTTCATTGTGACTACCTAATCCATAAGATCTTATGTGTCAGTCCCATAATGGTCTACACTAATCGTTGTTTTAGTGGACCCTGGTTTTGTCATCGTTTAGATCGAACGACGTTGTCGAGAGGGCTTACCAACTTAGTTGCCCGTGTATCTGACTCCATTTAGATCGTACGAATTTTCGTTATCACCTATACTCGTATACAATTACGGAATGTAGATAAGTCAATTAACGAGAATGGCCTTTGAATACACATATTTTGTATGTAAAGTAAATGCGATAGAACAAGGTAAAAATAACGCGCAGGGAAGATGGCTGGTAAGCCAACTCCATTCCTAGCTAGGCGTTACTCAACATTTATAGGCAGACAAAATAAACTACAGACGTATGATGAGACATGTGATATGATGTGTACACATATATGCGCTCATACAAAAACAGTCAAGACTGATAAGCGAATAACTGACAAGGTCAAAATATGACTCAAGTAGAATGAATAGATTGGTTTGTCCAAAAACTAGGATAACACTACATTGTATCGTATAAGAATCAATAATATGACGTCTAGCTCCCTTGAGGAACACATTTGAGCTAAAGATATAATAATATATATTTAATGTGAGTAAAGACAAGTTATACGGAATGACCACGTCTCAAAGGCTGAGGTATTGCACCCGATTGAATGAATCTTCTAGCATTCACTATACTTGATCTTCTCTGGGTGTTAAATGTTGAAAGTGACTCTTCTCACTAGTTATGCTTTCAGCTTCGAAGATCATGTACTTATGAACCAATATCACTACAGGAGCACTTGCTAGATGAACTATTGCAGTTTCAAGGTTGAATCGTGTTTGGATATGTTCTTATCGCCCACTTTAATTTTTCTTACCCACCGCAACGTCGTTTTGATTTTTTCCAGTCATCAGCTTTAACCCTGTCAATTTTTGCAGTCGTTCCCGGATCTGTCCGCTAAAATGTACTTTTCAGCTTGTAGCATCACATCAAATGTTCATTCTTACAGGCACTGAAAAGAAAATTTCCCTTAGTCAACTCTGAACTTCTCAAGGCGCTAAAGGATATTTGTTACATCTTTGTTTGGAAAGTCGTTGATAGAAAGTAGTGGTGTCAGAATGTTTTGTCTCATGTATCGGAGAAACCAGCTATACTACTAGGGTCAGGCTAGTCCTGTGAACAAAGTGAGACGGTGTGCTTTTCAAATATCCTTTACTTATGAACCGGATACTATTGAAGATTGTGAGACCGAAATTTATGGACGACCTTTGAGAGACACTAACGCAACCTTGAGGATGCAAGTGTACCTACTAACACTGAATAAATTTCTTCAACCTCTCTGAAGAGTAAAAATTAATATTTACAGTTATTTTTCAGGGTAATGGATTTAGATTTAGGGTCTTCATTACAAAGTGGCATCAGCTAGAATACCAAAATGCTATTTAGCCAAATCGATGAATTAATTTTGCGCAAAAATCCGAGACCTGTCCTTGATCTGATTGCTTCCCCCACAAATTATATTCTAGCCGCCTTTGTGCACATTATAAATGCTACCAAACAATTTTCGATGTCTTTGTTTGTCAACTATTAACAGCATTTTTGCCGTCACATATCAATTTTCATAATGTCCGTTCATGTTATATAGCATTTGTACTAGTTTATTTGTAGATTGATGTAGACGCTCTTCACTACCTAGGGGAAGATTAAGTCAAATTTATTGTGGTCATTTGTACCATTCTGAATTCAAGCAAATAAAATGTGCTGTTTGTCAAAACTCAGATAGATTGTAATCAGATTTTTTGTGCGAAAATGAGCTCTGAAAACTCTTAACACTTAATTTGTCACCCAAAATAATGCTCATCAACAATAGTGCCTGGTAGTTGTTTAATAAATAAAACCTCAGACAACTCTGTTCTGAAGTACTTTTGAACAAATACAAAGAATCCTAACCGTTGTATCATCGTTTTTATATTAATCATATTAATATTTAACTCATCTGAGGAAGAAAAATTATATGGGTAGCAATTAACGTTGATAACCTTTTCCTCCCGATTTCCTAACACAAGCAGCAACTGTATATAACATTACTATCAGTACTACATCAATTAGCAGCAAATTCGTCAAAAGTAAAACGATGTATTTTTGCTCCAACCATATTATTCGCACTTTGTTGTTTGTTAATATTGATTTATGTGTCTGTCATACAGTGAACGAATGAATTTCTGTAAACAGTATCTGCAAACATTGACCAAACAACAGAATAAATGCATGTGGATGAGTAATAACTAAATTGTGCATGCCAATAGTTTCATAGTGCATATAAACCGTGAATTTCTGTCAGTGTTATGAACATCGTAATTTGATTTTTCTCTAAATTCATAGTAGTAATTGACGTTCGTGAGTCAGTTTATTTAGTGCCTGCGATTCGTTTGCAAATACCAAATTGTTAGGGAGACTCTGAAAAGGTCAAAAAGGGTCCTGAAAACTCTGAGAAACATCTTATTCAATCAGCATTTACTAGAATTTTATCCGAAAAACCTTGAAAGTGACGAGTTGCGTGCCATGCTTCTGATCGTATGATTACATATCCTGCTAATTCGTTAAGAAGTGTTGCGTAAAATTTTTTGGAGGCTCAAGGTCATCTGAAATGCGAAAAATACCCTCGAATTTCTATGCACAATCTAAACTTGATGTATAGCGTTCTCTCCATATTTCGCGCCTTTTCTCGTGTTCCCATTGCCGTGCAGACTTAGCCTAGGTGTTGCTAGAAGGGCTTAGGGAACCGAATCAAGCGTTCAGTTAGAAGATTTGGCACAAACGTCTGGGTAAAATTCTGAGAGAGATGGAGAATGAATAGTATGGTTTACAACAAGTACGACACTTATAGCTGCATTGTGTTAGCCGCTATGCCATATGATACTCACAACGACGTTTAACCGTTTGTTTTGTGATTGATTTGTTTTACGAAATTGCATTGATTTAGCTGGGAAGCTATTCATGTTTTTTTATATGCAACCTATGGCTTCTATCAACTGAAATGCTGAAACATTTCTTATATTCAAGTCCATACTAATAAATAACTTGACGAGTTTCTGCATGTGGAGAGCATTTTAAAAGTCGACGACAACTGTGTTTGATATTGAACATTTCTAAGTTTATTCATGTATTGGATTAATTAAACACAAAAAAACAAGTATACGCAGTCTTCATATCTTTTTGCAAAAGCATACTA